GTGTATAAGTTGTCCTATTCTTGAATCAATGGCGGATGAGTCTTTTTATTGGTCGTCCATTTCAGTAGTTTTTATTTTTTTGAGTTATTGTTCATGAAAAGAGGGTCTTAGCTATTTTGGCAGAGTTTGCAATCTTCACAGTTTGTTGAACCTTCTTTTTTTTTTTTTGTCAATAAAGCATCAAACTTTCATTAAATCTACGGTGATGGTAGAAATTATATTACACGTACAAAATACCTAAGGTAATGAGTTGTTTGAGGTAAAATAAAAGTGATTGTTTAAGGTAATGAAGTTGGGCTGTCTTGATGAGTGCACGGAGAGAACAGAGTCATGGTGAATTTTGGGCTCTATTGTTTTTTGGATCGGTAAGATAAAAGTTTAGCTGTTCTTATTGGGATCAGAGTGTGGGAAGGTAGAAGCATTGCTTTAAAACCCAGCCGGTTGATCTGTTGATGGGCTGCTTTTCGGTTTGGGCAACCTTCGAAATCCAATTGTGCTAAAACAAAAACAAAAAAAAAAAAAAAAGAAGACCGGTCATTTTGAGCAAAATCAGAGAAATCGATTGATGGTTCAATGTCTTTCTTTAATTGAGCTCAAAATTTGTTGACCGATTAACATTGCAAATTCAAACCTGACCAGCTACGGTTTCATGTAATGTAGGAAAAATTAGAATACAAAAGTTGAAAATGTTAGAAATAATTAATGCTATGCAAACATCTTTGACCTTCTACTTACAAAAGTTAAAAGTGTAAATAAGCAAATAGTTGGTGGATTAGAATGAGTATTAAAACTCATGTAAACATGTGAGTGTATTTAAAAGTTAAATATAATTATGACGTAATTATGAATTGTAAATGGATGAATAAGAGCATCTAGACGGATCTAATAGTAATTGAGAAGGCAGGCAGTCGGAGATTCTGAGCTGGTAAAGTAAACACGCCATCATCATCATCATCATCATATTGGTAAAGTAATTGCAAAGAAGTAATGAGACGAGGAGGACTCGAGTTCCCTTGCATTAATAAAATAATAAAGCATCATGAGTTCCTACTCTCTTCTTTTTTTTTTTTTTCAGACTTTTGATTTTTGAAATTAGTTAGTTAAACATAATCTCAAATTTAATTTCAAAAATCGACAACTCTTGAGATAAATTTGAGGACTTAACTACCTAACCTCCAACCCCAGAGAAATAATGTGGGACTACGGGGAAGTTATTAAGGAAAAAAAGTTAGTAAGCATCATGAGTTCCTAATCTCTTCTCGAAGGAGGAAAAAAAAAGGAGAGATTGACAACGATTAATTTTTTATTTTATTCTGTTAACCTAAAAAAAAAAGGGTATAATTGTGAAAATGATTAGGAGGCGTTGCAAAGGGCATGTGCACCGTATCCCCCGTCATCCCAGCTGTCGCATGTAGTACTATTATCGTATATTAGTAGTAGCCTACCCCGCTCACGACGTTGTTGTACGGCTGGAATCTATTCGTCGTCTTCGATTCAGAGAAAGAATCACCAACACCAGCAACTGCAAATCAAAATATACTGCTGCAAATACAAATTAATTACTTAACTAGTAATATACTGCAACAACAAGCAGTTGGAAAGTGCTGCTGCAGTGCAGTTACCCACCGGCCGGCGGTGTGACTGACAGTTGAGAGCATGTGGGTGCTGATTGCGTGGATCATCGGAAATCTGGTGAACCAATAGTTTAATCATCGCTAACTTGCGACATTTTATTACTGTATTCTATTAGTATTATTCTGTGCTGTGCAGTTCCAAAGTACCACTGCCACCATATCTCTGCTCAACCCATGATTCTCATGATGATCATTATTATTATAAGCTTATCCTGTTGTTTATTCATACTGGTTCGTGATTAGGACGACTTGGACACAAGCAATAAACCACTGAGTCAGGAATGACAACAATCAATCACGCCCAATCGGCGGCCAAGTCTTTATTCTTTAAGCCCTGATTGACGGACGGACGGCTGTCCTTTTTTCTCATCAGCGTAATGCCCTCCCCGAGATTTGTTTTGATCTATGATAACAATAATGCACTAGTTATTATTCATTATATATATATATATATATACATTAGTAATTTGTTTTCTCACCAAGGGTCGGTCGGGTCGTGTTTAAACCGGAAAAAAAACCCCAACCATGAGAGTGACGCCGAAAGGAACGGCTTGAAAAAGTGTTCAAATGATGTCATTGATCCATGCCATTGCCAGCAGGCATCTGCATGTCTTGGCTCGATCATTTCATGCACCGATCGAGTTCAGAAAGGGGGCAATTTATAATCTCTTCTCTGTCTATTTCGATACATGGCGGCAACTGGCAAGTCAAGCTTCCAGTACGGTCAAGACTCGAGAAAATTGATGGTGGCTTTGGCATGAAATTAGCCGGAATGAGAAGCCATGGTTGAGCTCGGGAGGCTAAGTCAGAGAAGACCGAATGGATCGGAGGGTAAGATTAACTAATCATTTGGGGTTTGTTCCAAACTGCTGATACAGAAACGCGTACGTACTGACATGTATGTATATATATACAGTAGCATTCCATTAACTAATCGAATCATTTGGGTTTGTTCCAATTTGAAAGTCCACGTTCACACACTATCGATCGAGTCAAATAGGTGAACACTTCTTTTTTTTATTTTAGAGACACACACTGCCTACTATTGATAATTGATGGAGACGATTTTAGTAGTTCAATAATAAATATCGTGACAGTAGTGTCTTGAACTTTGAATCCCAGTTCATACTTGATGGGAGGAGGAGTCAATTTTGAGGAATCGTTTCGTGTAGGTGTAGGTGCGTAGCTTTTCTTGGGTTGATCAGCCAAAGATTGTATACTACAGTATATAATAATAATCATACACTGTTTATATTTTTAATTATTTTTTATTTCATGTGTATTACGTCATAAAAACTATTACAGTAAGTGTTTCAAGTAGTACGTTATCCAAAATTAGCTCTTTCCGTGTACTGCGTGTGTGTGTGTGTGCTGGTGGGTATTTATCTGTGATATAATTTTCTCTGTGTTGTGAGCGCCCTGAGCAGGACATAGTTAGTGAGTTTACTCCATTTCAGAGTCGATCCATCCAAAAGAGAGAGAGAGAGAGAGAGAGAGAGGGTAGCATTCAGCCTAATTTTCAATCAGAATCATACCCACTTTGATTAGAAAACTCTAGATGCTTCCAAAGACGTGAGGCGGGCACTCTTTGGCCTTCAACTGTTTTGGGGGTTGGTGAACTTAAAAACATAGTACATAATTCCAGTTTTCTAAGATCAATTTTGAGAGCAACTCAGGAATCGTAAAGCTACTTTTAATTAAGTAGCTCAAAATGGTTACTTTTAATTAAGCAGCTCAATATATACTTCCCAAGAGTAAATATGTTGTAATCAAGTCTCGCCATTCTGTTAATCACGACGTAGTTAGAAGAAAACACAAATGACTCTGAAAATTTGTTCTCTCAAAGAAATTTTTTTTTTTTTAAAAAAAAAAAAAAGAAAGAAAAGAGGATACGAAACAGCACGGGGACACAGATAGATTGGATATATTGCAGAAGAAGGAAGACCACGTACGGGGGAAACAGATAGATAGATAGATATAGAGTCATTCAATAACTGATCGATCATATATAATATATATATATATATCTGAGATAATCCATCCAAATAAATAACATGTGCTTCGCCGTGCTGTTTCAAAATAGAAATAGGATTTTGATGTAAACGGAAAATCAGGGAGAGAACTGTCGTGCATGTGTTTAAAGGATTGCTTTGTAACTGAGAATAGACGACACTATAGCACATCCGATGCATGGCTAGTTTGAGTTAAAAACGGAATCAAAGCAAAGACCCAATTGTGTTTTAGGTGCAACGCTATAAAATGTGTTTTATTTGTTGCATGGTATATGGCAAGCATCCAACTTGACACCGACTGCCAGTAGTTTTTTTCTTCTTCTTCTTCTTCTAAAAAAGATCTTTAGTTTTTATTTTTGTTACCCCTCCACACACACACACACACACACACAAAGAAACCGTACATAATCCGGGCGCGACAAGTTATTAAGTCTCCTCCGTGGGCTTTGAAAATTACCGATTTTTGGGGTTCCACGGTGAAATTAGATTTGTGATTTCCTCTTAACTATTGTTGGGAAAAAAAAAAAGAAGTTATTAAGCCAATCTAAGGACCGAAGAAACACCCAATTGAAGAAAGGCGGCATATGGCGCAATTTGCCCATATCGCACGCTAGTACTATACTTGGCATTGGTTGGTAATTGCTTAGCGGTTGGTTGGTAGCCTCTGCCCAGAAAAGAAATCATCATATCAACAAAAGGGGGAGAGAATGAAATCAGTAGAGTAGCTTTTGCTCTCTCTGAAAGTTCCTTTGCGCCAGCCGTCCGCTACCACATCTAACTTTTGATATCAAGGCAGGCACACAGTTTGCTTCCTGAGTATTATGAGATGACGCCCCAACCAAACCACATCATCAAGTACTTTGCCATTCGACTATTAATAAACAAATTGCAGTTGGTATATTTGGTTCAAAACAAAAAATTTAAACAAATAAAAAAAAGAAAGAAAACAAAGTGGTGATTGTACTAGTCTTTCAGCAATCGAGGAAGAGAAAAATACTACTAGTCTTCTGCTGGTGCTGGCATGATATTTATGTGTGTTTTTTTTTTCTTTGGTGCTGGTTGATAGGGAATATTCTGTCCATTTTCCTGAATGAATCCATCATCATATCATCTTACAGGCCTAACAGCAGCTTTCACAGAAAAAAAACTCCAAACTCGCTGCCATTTTTTGTCCTTTGAACGATGACACCACAGCGTATGTACACAAACCAAAACAAAAGAGAAGAAGACAAAGTGTTGGATTATACCAAACGGACGATCCATCTATATCTATGTAGATCGTCTCAGATCTGACTTCCCCCGCGCTAATTCATTCTCTATCTCACTCTCTAATTACCTGCAGCCTGCCTAAATTAATTAATTGGAGTATATATATCTATGACATATCTCTCCCCTTTTCTCTCTCTCGGTAATCTTCAACCAACGCCGGCTGGCTGGCTGGCTCCCTCCCTATAACTTAACCAAACAAAAAATATATATATATATGTACGTATATATATATCTACTGTTGATGTACGTTTGGCTAGAGAAGGTCTTGATCGGAGAAAGAGTTGAAAAGATGTTGAAGGTGGGAGTAGTCATGGGGGGAGAGACGAAGAGCCTCGAGGACTCGCTCGAAGACGAAGACATGGCAAGGAATACGAAGCACGCCTCTGTGGTGGTAACCGTACTCCTGTGCCGATTGATTCAAGAGGTTGACGAATAGCGGGTGGTTCAACAACTCCGCGCTCACCACGAACCTTTCCATTTCCTCTCCCACGTACACCGGCAAGTGACCCTCCGGCACTCCGGCCCCACCTCGCCGCTGCTTTCTTGCTCTCGTAAACGACGACGACGATGATGATGAACAATTAGACGTGGTGGTGGTGGTGGTCCCGGATTCCGATCTGAGTTGACAATATTGGGAGGAATCCGCCACTCGTGATAGTCTCCTTATAAGGTTCTTCATGGATAGTTTGGGTGAGTAATGGCGGAGAATGTGGGACGAGTTCGGGGGGGAAGAGAGAGAGAGAGATGGTAAGGAGAAGAGATAGGAGGCGGAGGAGCGTTTGTTTTGGTATCGGAGGAAAGAGAGAGAGAGAGAGAGTGGAAAGGCCGTTGCAGAGGGGGCCGTATATATAGTACTAGCAGTATGGTTAATTGGCAAGGCTGTTTAAAAGAGGAAAAAGGCTTCGAGGAGTTGTACCTTTAGTGGTACTTTAACGCCCCACCCCCCACCTCCTGCCCTAGGTTGTTATGTCCCAGTAGGTTAGAAAATGAATACAATAATCATCCTACCTAAGTCCCCAGTCCCTACAAAAAGAAAAGGAAAAAAGAAAAGAAAAGAAAAGAAAAGATGGATGGTTGAATTCAGAATAAACAATCCACACAAACAAAAATAATAATAATAAAGGACGAGGGGCTGAAAGAGGTACGTACGGGTAGGAAGCAGTACTTGGCAGGTACAATTATTTTTGTCTCTTCGGTGTACTCTACTAACTACCCGTCATCAAATTTAATTACTACTACTAATTAAGTCATTCATTTAAAGCAAAACTTAACCAGCTGTTTTTAAGTATAGCTGAGAAATGCCTGATGAATAAATAAAAGGGCTAATCACAATTAATTCCCTTAAAGTATATCTCATTTTTCATTTTACTCCCTAATCATTTTTTTGTTTCACTTTTATCCCCCATTGGACAAAATTATCCCTCTATTATTCTAAACTCTTATTTTTCTCTTTTATTTTTTTCCTTTCCCTTTCTGTGCTCTTTTATTTTCTTTGCTTCTTTCTTTAATCCTTTCTCTTTCCCACAAAAATTTTCATCTTAATGATTGAAATTAAAAAAGAGAAATTGTAGAGATCTCTCTTCTCCGTAAATGATTAAAAAAATTCAAATCACTTTTCTAAAATACAATTTTTTTAGCCTTTCAATTTCTTGTAATTTTGATTTTTTTCTCTTTCTTTTCTAGTTTCTCATTTTATTTTCAAGAAAATATCATAAGATGAAATTGTGACCTGATTAATAATCATCAATTGAAATTTGTAACACGTGGCATCATACAAAAAATCAAAATTAGTTTTTAATACCTTTTAAACCTTCACCCAAAAATGCAATAGCAAACTCAAAATAAAAATTTCCTTTGATATAGAGTTTTCTATTGGAAGGGATGAAAGATAGAAGAGAGAGAAAAAGAAATAAAAGAAAGGAAAAAAGGTAAATGAAAAGTTAAAATAATGTAAGGGTGATTTCGTCCTACAGAGGGTTAAGTGAGCAAAATTAAAGGTCAAGGGATAAAGTGATAAATGAGATATAACTTACGGGGATTAATTGTGATTAATCCTAAATAAAAAAACAAACATACGCTACTGCTACAGAACTACTACTGTAATAATGGTGGTAATAAAGAGGTACATATAATTAATTTTTTTTCCCCTGTATACCGTAAGATGTTGCATCGGTAATAGTTGGAATTTTCAAGGTAAAGGATGGATTAAAACACAGCTAATTAGGTACAGCAGTGGACGTTTGTTTTGCTTATTTACCCTCTGGAGACAAAATTGGCCCCCGGTCGCGGCACTCGCATCGGGCTTTGACAACGGTATTCCTGGCTCTATTACTACTTTATCAATTGATCATCAGCCTCCTTTTGAAACAGAAACCTATGAACGTACGTCTAAACGAGCGGCACATGCCGTGCCATCTGAAATGCGGTCCAACAAAAGCCGTATATATATATATAATCACATTGGCTGACACTCGAGATGGCCTCTTTTTCTTTTCTTTCTTTTGCGTTTGTGTGTTTTTTTCTTTTCTGTTTTTAGCTCTACTATAGCTTGCACAGAATCCATGCTTGTTTTCAACTTCTTTGCGGTTATTACTCTTGACCAGGTGATTTTTTTTTTTTTTTTGGGTATGAGTTTCATTATTTAACATTTGGAAATAGTCTAAAATTTCATCTTTTTTTTTTTATATATTAATGAGTCCAAACGTATCCATAAAATCTCTATTCAGATTTGAAAATTCACTTTTTACATATATTTACTATATGTTGGATTGAGCATTATTTTCCCCAATTTTATTTGCTTACATCATCATTACAATTTCCAATACACCTTTTTATCTTCCCAATTACTTTTTTATCTCACATACATCACATAAAAAAAAAATGCTACAGTAAAAATATCTCAAATAACTTACAATCCAAACAAATCCATTAATTCTTAACCTTTTATGGAACTGCTGTTTTATCTTATAAATCAAGCTTTTGAAGGAAAAAGGTATGATTGAGACAAAAAAAAAAAAAGGAAGGAGAGGATAGCTTTGGATGTGCAAGGTTAAAGGCAACTGGTGTGCTGATGCAAGGTGCATCTTCGGTTGAGCATCAGCACTTATAATTAAAATTATAAGTGACTATGAACACGTACGTGAATGATCTTGAGTTAATTGTTTGATACCTAAGGAGCATGGAATTGAAATTCAAGCTAGCTAGCAACGATGTGATTGGAATTCAATGCTGGGAGCAGAGGCGTTAAAATGGGTGATTTGAGCGGGTTTGAATTGGATAAAATGAATAACGGATATAAGTGAGTTAACCCATTTATATCCATTTAATTAGATGGAATATTAAATTCTGAAAGACTCTAACCAGGTAGTGCGTGCAGTCAATCTTTTTCACTACAACTATTATATTACCCTTCCATGAATTTGAAGGGGAATTACCCTGGCCTGAAATATATATATATATATATATATATATCCTAAAATCAATTTCTACTAATTAAGAAGCAGCAGCTCAGCTGCATGCGTATAAATATGCTCCCATGCTGTTGCAGCTGGTAGCAGCAGGCAGGGAGCGCTCCCACGTGCATTGAAGACTCCAGCCATCAACTTTTTTAATTCAGCCAACTCTCTGCATATCTCACCCATGCATCCATCGGCCTGCCTCAGCTAGCTAGCTAGCTTGCTGCTGCAGATCCATTCCCTGGACAAATGAACTCGTAATATCCATCCATATCTAGCTAAAAGAAACAACTCACCTGCACCCTTTCTGATCCCTAGCTAGCTAAGCTAAGAGAGATATGCATCCAGGCTCCGCTAGCTGCGTAACGCGGTCAAAATATTCATGGATATTTTGCATTCCAACTTCCCTTTTTTTTTAAAAAAAAAAAAAAAAAAAACCATCATGTACTACATGGTACATAATTAAGAGGCAGGTATGGGTTGTGCTGCTTCACAGTAGGAGGCCTTTTATCTTGGCTAGAATAATAGGGCACCAGCGAAAGCTCTTTCACTATGCAGCTTAGTTTTTACGATCTGTTACCCGGCTAGCTGTTTCCTTTTCTCAATGCTCGTAGCAGTGTATTAGCAGTTACCTTCAGGTAATTCCACGATGCATAACAGAGAATTTTCCACCTTATTCTATAGTAGAATTCCAGACATAACTGAAAGGTGGCCTGCTAGACATTGGCAGAGTTGGGGGAAACCAGCCTTGGATTGGTGAAAATTTTTCTTCGGCTCAAAATCAATAAATGCACCATGCTTTTGACCGATAGAAATGAATTAATGAATACAGTTTTCATGTAAGACACCTCTTTTTTGGGCCCCCCCCCGGGGTCTTTGTCTGCATTAGGAAGATGGGAGGGAATCTTGACCAATTGCAGCTCTCCTATACGAGATCGTGCATGGTCACTATCTGGCTCCGTCAGTCAGAAATTTAGTGTTAATAGAGATATATATGCTACAGTTGTAACTGGAGAGACATCCACGAATATGCTCTCCAGTCTCTGAGAACATAAAAAAAAGTACAGATTCGGCATTGGTTGGTAATGGAAACACTAGGAAGAAGTTAATCTAAACTCAGCCAGACGGTTTTTCTTATGAACAAATAACCGCCGATATAAGTTTAGGTGTGGGGCGGAGGAGGTGAAGTCCGTAATTACTCTGATAGTACTCGCTACTAATAGTAAGCATAATAAAATATTTTAGCACCGGAAGGCGGAAAGCAAAGCTGGATCTGGAGTAAATTGATCACTTGCGAGAAGAATTGATAAACCCACCGTCGGCCAAAAAAAAGGTACTTGTACGGAAAGGCCGATATGCGGAACCGTCGCAAATTCCATGTATGCCGTACAGTCAAGTAGTACACGGAAAGCACCGCCCTTCCGTATCACTTGGGCACGACACGAATGTCCACGCAAGTGGGGCCACCGCCAACAGCTACGTACTATTTGTAGCGGCGTCAGTTTCGCTGTTTTTAAAAAAAATAAATAAAGAAATAAAAATTAGTCCGCCAAACAGACGCAGACGTGCTCATCCTCATTCCTCACTGCGTCTGCTCCGTTGCTTTCTTTCCGGAAAAGAATTGTTTGGTGGCTTGTACCGTTGTAGTATTAGGGGGCCTTGGAGTTTGCTTTTTGTTTAGGATCTTAATTGTTCTCGTATAAATTTGCATTTCCATCACCAAACTAATAATAACAATAAGGATAATTTCATAAACCTCCCCTGAGGTTTTATGAAATATCACCTAGCTCTCTTGAAGTTTTCAAAATCTCACTTAACACCCTTTGAATTGACATTTTAATAACATTGGAAGTCATTCTAACCAAAAGTAATATTAAAAAATTCATGTTTGAGGAGAGAGATTATTTTAGTGCCTTTAATACCCTTAAACTATAAAAAAAAATGAACATTTTACAAAACAAGGAAAAATGTACTAAATTGGAACCATCTTAAAAGTAAGGAGATGAAAATTGGTAAGATTTTATGTTAAAGTCAATAGTTATTGCTACAATAGGAAGAGATAGTAAAAGCAAATAATATTTTTTAAATCATTTTCTACAAATAGAACCTTTTATAGCGTTGAAGGTAATTAGCACGTAAAATCATATATTTGAGCAAAAAAAAAACTTAGTAATAAATGAAATTCAACTTCAATATCATACAAAATATTTACTTAAAATAGACAAACTTTTTTTATGGGTGTGAAATATGAAAATTTTATTATAGAAAAAGTCAGAATTTGAAAAACTATTTGGAGTTTCAATTACTTTATTTCTCTTGCGCTCTACACGAATAGGAATAAATAAATAAATAAATAAAATTGTGAAACACCAA